GGATTAAATGCATCACTATATATAAAACATTTGGAACAGCATCTGACACATTGATATTATTATTTTGTTATTATTACTACATGTTATATTTTTAGTTAGATAATTTAAATTGATTGATACGTGATCAGGCTTACTACGATCAAGAATTTTATGGAAACTCAGGTCTCATATTAGTGATACAAGCTGAAGGAGCAAGAGCCAGGACTCAGTGGGCACAGAATTCACATTTCTAATTCTGCAGAGTAAAACCCCATTAAGCCATAAACTGATAATGTGGAATTTATGGTAATTTAGGAGAAATTTTATTTTCCACTGTCTGTGAAGGCAAGTTTTGCCAAACAAATAAGTAAAAGGTATTTTTGACTAGTAATAGGGAGAAAATATTTAATAAAATTAAATTACTCTAGGAATTTCCTTTAGCACATAAACATAAATAAAGTTGCCTCCATATGTAAGATATATGGAGAGGTTATTTAAAAATGGTTCTTATTTGTATATTGCAGTAGGTTCAGGAAGCCACAGAGCTGACAACACTTTATTAATAATTAGCAAGGTTGTGCTATTGTATGTACAGAGAGTAATAAACATATATTTTCTTTCTACATATTATTTCTGACTTTCACCATACTCTTTAATATCACTGAATTTCTGCACACTATTTAAAAAGACCCCAATCAATATTCAAAGCTAAGAGATCTGTTATTCATTTAAAAAAATAATAAGTACAAATGTTTGAATGATTCAGCAAAACAGGTAACCGACGTTCCATGAGAACCTCCTGCAAAATCATCATTGCTGATGCTTCACCAGCAGCAGGAGATCAGGGAAGATGACCCGGTACCTGTGGACTCATCCCATACCTGTTCTTCAGGTGACGGGCTATGATATAGGACACCACGTGACCCCCACCCCCCACTAACTGAATTGTGTTAGTTTCTTGGGAGGAAATCAGAGTGGCAGAGGGATAGAGTGACTTACATTTTGAGTTCTACACCATGAGCATGTAATGTCTATTCAAAAATACAAAAACTTTTTAAGGATTTCATATAGTTGGCTAGTCTTTCCTTATCAGAAAATTCTCTTTCCTTGGCTTTGGTTGCACCATAGTAGGTGCAACACCCCCTATGCCCTGGCTCCCTTTGGGCCAGTCCTAATTTGACACTTCTGATGGCTGTCATAGTCCTTTACCAGAAGATTTTCTTCTAGATCCTCTAGTCTTCCTGTTCTGTTCGTCCTTCCTGCATAAGTCTCATATACTTTCATGATTTAAGCTGTTTACATCCTTAGGATCATCAAATATATACTCATTCATTAAAACATATGTATTAAGTTTCTACTACGGACACTAGCTACTGGAATACAGCAGTCGGCAAAGCAGACAAAAATCTCTGGTTCTTTGAACATTTATTACATGTAGGAAGATGAAATTACAATGGGTAAAATAAAATATGTTAGATACTGATACGTTCCAAAGAGAAAAATTACAGCAGAAGAAGGAAATAAAGTGTCAGGGTGGAACATGGAAATTGTGTATTGGCCCCAGTTGACCCTCAGTTCTGAGCCTCAGGTGCATATATCAAAATGTCCAGTGCACCTTGGATGGATAGCAGGTTCCTTAAGCTTATCATGACACAAACTGAATGAGTCATCCCCATCAAACTTTCGTCTACCCCACCACTCAAACCAGAAATGTATGAGTCATCCTTGAATCCTTCTCCTTCATTCCCCATATCCCATCTGTCACAGTTTAGCCAGTTCTCCCATTTAATGCTAGTCACTTCTCTCCATCGTCACTGTCACTATCCTAATTCAGATCAACATCACTTCTCACCTGTATTCCTGCAATAACAGATCCCCAACAGACATTAAGTTGATTCCAGTGAGATTAAAACTCATCTTGTTAGCCCTCTACTTCAACCTATCAATGGTCCCAAATTACTCCTGCTCAGCAGGCCAACCACATCACTCTTGGAGCCTCTCTTACCCTTGTCCTCTAGTCCTACTGTTCTTCCTTCATTCTTCATTTATGCTGTCCTCTCCTGGCCCTGGGTATTCCCACATACTATTTCTTCTTCCTGGAACATTCTTCCCCCAACTCTTCATTAGCCTAACCCATCTTTCAAATCTCAACTGAAGCATCACTTCACCAGGCAAGTATTACCCAAATCCTCAAACTGAGCTACTTGCACCCGCTATGCATTCCGTAATATCCAATCTTTCCCACTTGACAGTACCTGCTATATCTGTTATTTCTTCTATATTGGCTCTTTCCTACACTGGAATATAAGCTCCAAGAGGCTAAGGGCCACATCCACATTTTCAACACATCATCCCCAATGCTTGTCAAATAATGTTTGACATAGAATAGGTGCCCAATACATATTTACTGAATAACGAATGAATATTATAACAGACTAACAGCAGATGCTTAGTGACTATCTTTACTTGCTATTTACATGCTTTATACTCAGACGTGTATGAATCATGATCTCTTAAGAGTACTTACATTTTGTCTTCTCATTGTACATCTGGGATCACGGAGGATGCTCTCCAGTAACCTGACACATCTCCAGATTCCAACAGTGCCCCCCCTTGCACATTACAGCTCCAATTTTTACATTCCTAGGCAGCATTATCAGCAAGTCACGCAGAGAGATGTCCTAGTGTTGGTTCTGCTGTACAATACAGACTCACTTTATGTACAAATTGATCTCAGATTGTGTAACTAGTAGGAATATCTCTTTAATTATATTAGTTATAGCTAGTGGTAAAATATATCCCTGAGATGTTACCACCAAAAAGAGAAGAAACACTCTTTTGTCTTTTCTCCTTTTGATTGCTACTTGGGGCTTTAATACATTCTCTTCTTTATCTTACCTTAATTCCCTTGAAATGTCTGCTCCTCTCTTCTCAGGCCAATCTACAATAAAAATTGCACCAAATTTATGTCTACTCAGTCTTTATAGATAATGCCATTAAACCTGGTTTGCTTTTCTGTTCATTCATTATGCCTTATTCATTAAAATTGCTAATATTTATTAATTGCATGCCCAATGCTGCACATTTATCTACATCGTCCTACAACAATCAAATGAAATGGTACTATTTTTATTCTCAGTTTTATGTAAGAGGAAACTGAGGCTTAAAGAGGTTAAGTGACTTGCTCAAGTCACAAAAATACTATTTTTGAACTGGGATTTGAACCCAAAGGTCTGCCTCCAGTTCCTCTGAAACTCTCGGTTTGTGTTGTGCTATTGTTTTACTTGCTGAGATGCAAGTTACTTTTCTTTTAGCTCTTTGCCCTCCCCTCCCTTAATTTTCTGTATATGGTAGGCCGTCACTAAATACTTGTTTAACCATTCACTGGGCCATTATTATTATTATTATTACTATTATTATTGGTGGATGACAGTATTCGCGGTTTTGTTCTGCTTACTGAATTTTGTTCTTTCAACCCAAATTGAAGTGCGCCTAAGTATGGGGGCTGGCAGGGCAGAAACTGCAACGTAAATAAATAATGGTCAGAGGAAAACCCTTTGCTGAGGTGTTTTCAAGAGGAAGAAGAGAAGTTTTCTAGGGCTTAGCCGGTTGGTTACCTGAAGTTCAAACTCCTTTGGGATCCTCCGGTATAATGTTAATAATCAAACTTTTTTCCCCTTCAACATAGTTAGCTTGCGTGAAAGATTCCCATTGTGTGTGAGAGTAAAGAGAAAGAGGAAAATCAGCAATTTTCTTGGTCCATAGGTATACATTTAGATTCCTGCAACTCTCAAGGCAAGTGATTATGGATAGGAGAGTTACAGATTTCCATTCTCTCTGCGCGTGTTTCTCTTTGGACAGACTCCTATGCGTCCCGGAGCCTGCAGACCGCCCCGCTGTAGACCAGCACTATTGACGGGGCTGGGTTTCACCTGTCTCCAAGCCAGAAACGCCCTACTCGGTGAAGGCACACAGCTCTCCCTTCCTGCTCGCTTCCATCCTAGGCGAGCTTTCGGAACGCGCTCTGTGGCCTTTCCGTCTCCACACTTCCCTTTAAGCCATTCCCTTAAACTGCCCCACAAAGACCCTGGGACCTAGGGGAGGGAGGAGGGAGGTGGTCAAGAGGTAAATGGGTTAAGAGCGCAGCTTGGACCAGAACGCGGCGGAGCCCCAGGTGCTGCGGAGATCAGGAGCCCCTGATGCCTAGGGCGGTGGCGGGCGCCCCCTTACCTCCTGGGACCCGCGCAGGGGCGAGCCTGGCGCTGTGCGCGCGCCCGCCCAGGGCCCGCGGGCGCCGGGAGCTCCGCCGCAGCCGCGAGCCCGCAGCCGGCAAGGTCGGGGACGTGGGAGTCAAGGCTGTCTCGTTTAGTGGTTAGGGATGCTGGCTCTGGAGCCTAATCCTGGTTCCATCTCCAGCCACCTGGGTGACCTTGAGCATGTTCCTTAGCTTCAGTGCTCCCAGTTTCTAAACGCATCATATGGGAAAACTGAGGTGATAGCTAAACCTAGGACTGTTGTAAGAATGAATGAATGAAGGACTCCTGGCACGTAGTAGGCGCTCAGTGAATGGTAACAGTGATTAGGAGGAGGAGGAGTTAGAAGTTAAGTCCTGGGGTCCAGAATGTCGGTTTGAGCTCTGACTTTTCCAGTTATTCACCAAGGAGTGGGGGAAGGGGAGCGGGAGCATTTGCCCTCTCTGCCTCCTCCCGGGTCCATGATAACCTGGGGAGTACCCCGAGGGTCGTCCGCCCTGGTCTCGGGCGGCTCCAGATGGCCCCAAGCCCCGAGCCTCCAGCACCTCCCGGCGCCCGCGCGCGTTCTCTTTCCCTCGAGCCGAGGAAACCTTTCTTCCGTGAATCGAGGATCTCCCTCCCTCTCCAACCCCCAAGCGAGCTCGCTGCTTCCTCCTGTCCCCGCGGCCGCAGCAAGCCGGCCAAGCCGCGGGCGGAGGGAAGAGGCAGCCTCGGGGTGTGCGAGTCCCTCCTGGCTCCAGAAAGCGGAGAGGGGACGAGGCGGCGCGAAGACAGCGAGAACGCGGTGTCCCCGGGTGGCCCCTGGGTCCCTTCCTCATTTTGCCATCCTTCTCGGGACCACTCTGGCTTTTCGCAGCCCGAATCACAGCCTCTGAATAGCCAGGTGTCCTTACCCACCACCCGCCCTCCCCGGTTGGGGCAGAGCAGCCTGAGGTGCCAGCTCCGCGAGGCTGGAGTGGGAGGCGAGCACAGTCCGGCGAGGTAAGGAAGGGCGGGCGGGGGAGAGGAGGGGAGCAATGTGTCTGCACGTGTGCGCGCGTGTGCGCGTGCTCTGAGGGGGCGTGGGGGGCCCGCCAGGCGCGTCCCACCTACCACCTGCCCTTCCTGCACCGTGTCGCCGCCCAAGCCCTCTTGCCCCCTGCACCCATGCTAGGGCGCTTGCCACCCGTATCCTCCACGCCCCCGTGTCCCATCACCCCCTCATCTAAACCCCACCCTCCCTACTAATAGTTTCCCAATGCAGAATCAGACCAAAACCTGGAGAGACAGCATTGCCTTTCTGCTCCCTCGTTCCCCCCCACCCCACCTTGCTATAAATAATCCGGACTAGCGGGTCAGGCACGTCACACCGCGAGAAACCGGGACCCCGAGGTTTTCTTCCCTGGGAATAGGGGGCAAAGGGTGAGGAGGAGAAAGAAATCGCTCGTGAGTAGTGAAGAAAAGCTTGCTCCCTGACGCCTAGAAAAGACGAGGCATCATTTGATTCTTTTCTTTTTCTTTCTTCCTTTTTTATTTTTGGGTGTATTTCTAATTCTCCACCCCCCCACCCCGCCCCAAATCCAACGGATTGCTCAGCACTCCTCCCATTGGTTTCTTTCCTCCCTCCCTCTTGGACTCCTGCTCCCACCATCCCCTCCCCTCCCCCGCCGCACAACCCCCACCTCCAGCACCTATCTCGCCCCAGGCAGGTGATCCTATCCGCCAAGGAAATAAAGTTCAAACTGCTCTCCCCCGTCTGCTTGCTGAGACCAGAAGTGGGCTTCCAGACACCCATCTTCCGCTCGCACTCCACACCTGCTATCCCCTAAATTCCTAATCTGGTTTTGCATATTTATGAGGAGACACACACACACACACACAACCTACAACCTGCGAGGTGCAAAACTGCCTCCTGCAACTACCAAAACTTACCAGACGCTCTAGTTGTTTTTCTCTTAACGAAAGGACAACAAAGATTTTACCCTGGGTGCTCCTGTGGGGTGACTCTTTATATTATTGAAATATGTATATGTTATACATATATATGTTTTTCCTTTTTCCCCTTTAATTTTTTTTTTTTTTTTTTTTCTTAACAAGAAAATCTGCTCGGTCCCAGGCATCCGCCGCTGCCCCTTTGATGTTTTGGTACGCCGTGCGCATGCGCCTCACATTAGAATTACTGCACTGGGCAGACTAAGTTGGATCTCCTCTCTTCAGTGAAACCCTCAATCCCATCAAAAACTAAAGGGATGTGGAGAGTCCGGAAAAAGGGCTACTTTGGGATTTGGTCATTCGCCTTAATAATCGCCGCTGTCTGTGCTCAGAGGTAAGTGTGCCCAGCGTTTCTCTTTTCCGTTTCTCACTTTGAAGGGTTCTGTCTGCATACCTCTGTGAGCAAGGATCTGTAGTGAGGATCAGATAGAAGCTGAAGACGCTGTGCCTGCTGCCTTACTGATGCCTGTTTATTGTCTTTTCTTTCTGTAGTGTCAATGACCCTAGTAATATGTCGCTGGTTAAAGAGACGGTGGATAGACTCCTGAAAGGCTATGACATTCGTTTGAGACCAGATTTTGGAGGTAATGGGGTTGCCTTGGAAATAAGAAACAGCCCAGCTCTAGCCTAAGCTGTCTTTTGAGCTTTGTGCGCTCTGTGTCTTCCATCTCCCTCATTGTGGGTGCATGTGGTGTACTGAACGTGTCTCTGTGTTACCAGATTGAGAAAGTGACCCAAACTTGAGCTGCTTTGTTACTATCCAGCACTTCCATGCTCTTTCAGTGAGACCCTCTTAGCGTGAATTGGTGGCCACTGTCCTTCAGCTTCACTGTTTAAATCCTTTGCCTCATTGTCTTTGCTTCATTGAGACACAAACCTCTTAAGTTTAGTTAATGATGTGTCCAGAGAACCCGGCTTACTGAAGGCCATTGTGAACATTTTTGAGGACAAGATGTGCAGACAATTGGTTGAGAAGTGGCATTAACCCTTTGTGCCCTCCTACTTTGGAAGAGTTCTGGCCATGGTTTAGAGTGGCTGGTGTCAGGTTATTATCCAGTCCTGGAAGCCCCACTGCATGGGCTGGTGGGGGAGGGGCCGGGGGTCTTGGAGGATAAGGAGGGTAGGAGGGAGAAGGGCCAGGGACTTTGCTCGCTGCAGGCTTAGATATGCTGCTTGCCCATTTAATTTTGCTTCAGACTCTAAGAAAGCTCAAAGAGTTAAAATCTGCACACAGAAGGGGGTGGTGGGAAAGAATGAGGAGGCGGGGGTTTCAGTATAATATGTAAGATTCCCTTGGGATAGAACCATTCCTGTGCTTTTGTAAGTTCTACGTATTGGAGACATCTACATAGGTAGGTGGGTGGAATCTCTCACTCATCCGGACACGTGTGTGCATGTTCAATAGAGCATTTCCCAGAGGAGTGCCTGCCACCCTTTTTAAAAAGGAGCAGGGAATTGAAGAATTTGAGGATGAGCAGTGAGGAGGGGTTTGGGGCAGTGTCCCATGCCAGGGGACAACTCTTGCTAAGAATGAATGAAGTTCTGAGAAATCACGTGGCTGGCCATCTTGGTTTGCAGGTCCCCCAGTGGCTGTGGGAATGAATATTGACATCGCCAGCATTGATATGGTTTCTGAAGTCAATATGGTGAGTATTGAGGTTTATGGCTGTGTCTCCACAGACCTTCATTTGGCCGCAGGGAGGAGAAAGGAGCCAGGCGGTGGGGGTGGGGTGTGCGTGAGTGTGTGTATGAAGTGGGGGTGAGGGCAGGGAATTTTGCTTTGGAACCCACTGTGTTTTGAGGTTTCAGAGCTGGCTTTTCTCTGGTCTGTAAGGATTTTTCCAACCTTGTTCAGCTACTTGGGACTTGGCATAGAGCTAATAAAATGCAGCACACTTTCACATGCAAAATGCAGCCACAGGCAGGAGATCCCTTGCAGAAAGCACATTTCCTAAGGTTCAGGGGTAAACTGGGTTCATCAAGTGATTTTCTGGGTTTGGGGTGGGGTTAGGGGAAGAGGGGAGGGTTTTGATTTGACATTTCACAGAGAATATAACCTACAAACAAACTAAACTGTAGCCCAGAAACTGAATAAATGGCCTTGGGATACTGTCGTCCACTTGTTGCTTTCAGAGATGGCAAAAACCGCCACCCCCCACCCCGCCAATTGTTCCCAGCCTCTTTTATCCCCTCCTGCCCACTAAAATAAATAAAATAAAAATTGGCCACCCTGTTTTCCAAAGGCAGACTCAAACCCATGTGTCATCTGCAGTCACTTCTCCACTGTCATTCACCGTATGTCCTATGCTTGTACAGTTTATGGGCAGCAGCACTCCTTCGTGTCTTCCTCCTTGGACTTGGGGCAAGTCCTAAGGGAAAAAGGCACGGTGTTCCCGACTGGGGAACACTTGTGGGGGGTTTGCTTCATGCAGGAGCGCCCCCTGCTGCCCATGCTGGGGCACTGCAGACATACAAGACAATGGCAAGTGTCCCAGATACCCCCCTTACTTGGGCCATTTCTCCAGTGACTTTTCTACCCTGTGTTTTTGATGTTTTTCCCTTTGGAAAAGTCCCTTTAGAAAGGCACAGCTGAATGTAAGATGCCAGTGTTACTTTCAATCCTGATAGCACACAGCACCTTTAATGATTGTGTTGTGGCGTGGTTGTGCCTAGAAATGTGACCCACTCTTAAAGCAGAGGGTGTAGTGTGTAAGGTTTTATGCAAAACTTCTAAGCCAGCCATGAGGACTTGAAAGTTAGGACATTTATTGATTAACTCAAGAGAGCCGAAGAGCTCGGGGGTGGGCATGCTCTCAACATTACACAATTTTCACATCCCAAGAATTCAAATAAAAAGGAAGCTCAAATAACCAGCTTAGTTCCTATACACTGTCCAGAGATAGGTGATAATCCTGAGATATCACAAGATTATGAAATGTCTTATGACTACTCCAGGAAATATTGAACTGTTTCAGTATGTTTTAGTGGCATATATTTTCCAATATTCTAATTATTGGGAAAGATTTATCATATAGAATATAAACACAGACAAAAGACAATATTGGATGATTTAGGCTCGCAGATTCCCCATACAATATGAAAATCCCCTGTGTGTGTAGAGAATATTTATTTCTTGGGAAAATATTTAATTTCTCAGATATGTGAATATTCACTTTTATGGTATTTTAGAGGTCTTTCATCAGTTTCTATTTTGAGTTTTACCATAAAAATAAAAAATTTCCTATTGTGGGTACCTCCTAAGTCCCAAGTAGTTAAATCTAAGTTGTGTTGCTGAAAACTAAGGAATATAGAAATCAGGTGTGGTTCTGTGTATCATACATGGGGTTGAATTAGACTCCTCTCTTTTGCATTTTGATTTATTTATGCTCGTTTCTACTCCAAAGTTTTATCTTAGCACTTCCCTCTTTAGAGCATCACAAACTTTTTTTGGGGGGAAAAATTAAGAAATATTTAGAACCCGAAGAGACAATGATGAGATGATTAGAAGTTGCTGCAATAGGTTAAAGAACTTAGATGTATTATTTCCCCAAATTGTTTAGAGTAGTAGAAGCTTGTGAGTTTTTTCTCCTTCTTAAGTTTTGTGCATTTTTTACCTGCATGTAGCATTTTGGAGAGGTATCTTAGCTGGACACAATGCCAAGACCTGCTAGTCAAAATACAGATCCAGCTAAGGCGAGGTGTCATCTGTTAGAGCTATTTACTGTTGTTGAAAAATCATGGGATGTTGAAAGTGCAAAAACAAATGTCAGGTTGTAAATAGGACAGTATTGCAGCATTAATGATTAGAACCTAGTGTTAAAAATTCCAGGGCAGATTCCTTTCTTAGCCTACTGCTAACACACATGGACTTGTCCAGACACATTTCTATTTGTTGAAAAATTAACACTTATTTCAGCTAGCAATCATAGTGACTTTAATCCTTCAAAGATAAATTTTGTGATGTATGTTATTATTTTTTGAAATATCGTTTTTGATTTGGTTATTTGATTTGAAGCAACAGATGGGAAATTTCATCACTGATGTCTAAATAAAATAAGATGTTTATGGCATATTGCTCCCTGTATACAGGTCTAAAAGGGCTAGAATTTTTTGATTAGATTCAGTTCTGAAAGAATGGTTGATTGATTATTTAAGTGAAACTTCAAAATTCATTGATACATGTGTTTCTTCTTCATTATCCTTTGTGGTCTGCGGCCTCTGGTTATTGCAACTTTCTTTTTATTATAGCAAATCTTCTTTTGAAGAATGCCAGACACCAGACCATTAAAGTTGTCCTCGAATTATTTGCACTGAAAGGAAAGAGGCTTATGTCAATGTGGTGTTCCTGGTAACTGACAATGATAGAAAGACCCTGAAGTGAGTCAGAATTCTTGAATACTAGTTCTGCTTCTGCTGCTTAGTCATCCTGAGGGAATTCACAGCCAGACTGGGTTCAATTTCCTCACCTGTTAAAGAGGAAGATTAGTCCCGTTTTACCCATCTCAGGTGACTACTGGAATTAATAAAATGACACATGTGAAAGTATCGGTGTCCTATGAACATAGCTTGATGTAGAAGAGTGAATATCAAGAGAGCCTGTGTCCCCTCCAGCTACTGCCCTGAGTGTACTTGGGTCAGTAACGTACATTACTGGGTCTCAGTTTCCTTATGTTTGAGATGAAAGAGGACATATTAAGTTGATTTCCAACTCATAGTTACACATCTCTGGTTTGGTTTATTATAACAGTTCTGTTGGGTACAAAGAAATTCCACGAAAACGTGGAAATCCAGCATCCATGTAAGGAAAAGGCAGAAATCCAAAATGGCGTGCAGTTGTGAGTTCTTGCTCAGGAAGGTGGTGATGGTCTCTGGGCTATGTGATTCAGGTGACTGTCGGCCCAAGGAAGATCTTTGGAAGAACGTGATCTCAATTAGAATGCTCCTGAGCAGGAAGCTTAGCTTTAGAATGAAATATTTTTAGATGTCTTGGTTAAATTGGCAGGAATCTTTTTTGTTAAGATTCTTTGATGAAAAGTGCATTTTAAGATCCAAAATTGGCTTTGAGGATTATGAACTGAAATAGCTCTCTCTTCATTTAAAGCAAATTCTTCTCCATCTTGAAACAACACATTTGCCAACCAAAGAGTGAAGCAATATTTTACTTTTGAGGAAAGAGTTCTAGTAAACACATAACAAATTACCTTTTTATGGAATGGCGAATGGAGAAAAGTGCTGCCTTTTTTTTTTTTTTAACAGATGTTTTCTTGCATCACCAGCTGCACGGTTTAAAATTCAGTTCAACACGAATCCTTATTTAGTGGTTACTATGATTCGGCCATGTGCTAGGCCTTGTGGACAGAGAAGTGAACAAGATCAACTTGTCTGTCCCCTGACCTCATGAAACTTAGTATCTAGCTATTCACTATTTTCAATTCTACTGAAGGTTCCTACTGTACTTATGCTTAGCATGTCTTACCTTTTCCCTAAAACTTTTTCTGAGCAGCCAATTGAGTACCTAGTGGTCTGTATCTCCCATGGGTTCTTTTGTCACTTGTTGATTTCACCATTCATTTGTTATTTGTTATTTCAAGTCACCTTATGTGTTACATATTTATTCTGCCTTCCTAATTCATGTTTATAAAATCATATGGACAATGTTATAGTATCTCTCCCCATGTTGTTTGTCTCTATATACAATATTTGGTTGAGTGTTTGACTCCTGGCAAATGCCAAAAATATTGAGTGAACTGTTTGTTTCCATAGCAGTAATTTGTTATTATTCACTAGACACTATACCATATATGTGGAGAAATAGAGCATAGAATCATAGGCCTCAAATTCAAGGCATTCACTGTTTAAATCAGCCAATGCAGAAAGAATCACATTGTAGGATCCTAAGTGCTTTGGAAGAGGAAATAGACAGAGCATATTGGGAGTACAGAATACTGAGGTATTTACGTAGAAATGATTAGGTGAAGATGGGGAGTCAGAGGTCTATGGATAGATATTCCTAGCAGAAAGAAAGGCATATAGGAGAATAAGGCAGAGGAAAAATAAATTGGGTTAGAGACTTGCAAATATCTTAAAATAGCTGGAGTTGGGAGTGGGATTGAGGAGGTGTTGAGTTGGTGTTGAGGTCATAGGTGGTGATCAAATTATGATGATCATTCTTATGGCTTGCTGAAGACTTTAATATGTGTTCTAAAGGCTGTAGGGACCCAAGAAAGGACATCAACAGGGGAATCACATGAACAGATTCACTCTTCAGGAAGATGCTTCTGAGGTATGGAGGGTGGAGCAAGACCTAAGGTTGGGAGATGAGATGAAAACCCACTGCCACAATCCGGGAAAGACTGATGAACTAAGGCAGAAATGTAAAGGAGAAGATATAAAATCAGGGCATTTACAAGGTAGAAGCGACAGTTCTTGGAGAAGCCCAAGTTTCTGGTGGTGTCATTTATTGTCATTTATTTGTGTTGAGGTGGGGGGATGGGAAGAAGCATGCAAATAGACAGTTCAATTTGGGAAATGCTGTCTATCCTAGACACACGGAATTTCTGAATGGAGATAAACAGTAGGTGATTGGAAAGTACAGGTCTAGAGCCAAGTAAGAAGTCATTACTAGAGAGGTGAACTTGGACATCAT